CATAGTCATCTGAGCACAGACACACACACACACACACACACACACACGATGAATGTGAATGATGGACACTGTGTGTGTGTGTGAGAGTGTGAGTGTGTGTGTGTGTGTGTGTGATGGCAGTGTGCATGTGTGTGTGTGTGTGTGTGTGTGTGTGTGTGATGGCAGTGAGTGTGTGTGTGTGACTTTATTAACATTATAAGTAAACCTAAAGGAACATATTAAAATATATTTTTAAATCCATGTCATAACCCCTTTAAACAGTTTATAGGTTTATGGAGAAAATGAGCAGGATTTGTATTTGGGATCCCGTCAGTGATTGGTCACCTGCTCCCGGCTAGCAGCAGCACTTTAGCACCGTCCAGACCTTTAGTCACCAGCTCCTTAACGACCTCCTGGATGATCTGAGAACCCATGAATGCATAGTCATCTGAACACAGACACACACACACACACACACACACACGATGAATGTGAATGATGGACACTGTGTGTGTGTGTGTGTGTGTGTGATGGCAGTGAGTGTGTGTGTGTGTGTGTGTTTTACTCTGGTCTGTCTTCGCTGTGGAGCCACTCCAAACATCACTGGAGCAGTACGGCACAAACCTGCACACACAGATTCACTATTCATGAGAGAAACACCAAATAACACCGAATTCACTGTGAAATGCTGAAATAGAAAGACTGAAGTAATATTTTCTCTTTGTAGCAAAATCTAACTTATCTGCAGTATAAAAACAGTAAACAGTATAGAAATGTAAAGATGCAGGTCATTTTCTGAGAGGGTTATGGGATATGAAATATTATTATCTGTGTATAAAGTCATAATCGTACACTGTGTTTGCGTTCCACCAGTGTGGATTCTCCTCGGGCTGAGACGACAGGATCCCCGTTCCTGAAACACACACACATAGTTTTCATGTTTATAAGTTCTGACACTCAGAATACGGTATTTTTGGACATGCCTCCCTGTTGTTAGGATGCTCGGAGCGTTGCTAGGGTGTTGCTATGCAGTTGGCAAGATGTTGTAAGTGTTGCATAGTTGCTTAGTATGTGGTGCTTAGTGCTTTCTTGACATACTTATGAAATCCATTGCATTATTTTTTTGTCTAATAAACTAAAATCATGAAACTTAGCTAATGTTTAAAATGTTTAACAAAAATGACATTTTTAGGGCCTTTATCTTTACCCATTTTTTTGGATTTCTATTTTTTTTTCTTCCAAAATTCTTTTTTTTCCTGAATCCCATTTTTTCCTGTTTTAGTTTTTTTTTTTTTTCAGTTTTAATGTTAAATTACAATTTTCTCAAGGGTGTAGGTTTGATTTTGGCATTGGTGGACGTAACGGCAGACAACAGACATTTAATTGTTTGATCAAAATTATTGCTAGAGACAATTTAGTAGTGTCTGATATTGGTAGGATCATGTCACAACATCTATACTAAATTCTACACCCTTGAAAACCATAACAAGCGATGTCCGACTTTGATAACTCTAGTTCTCTCCTTAAATATGAAGAGGTCAAACACCAGATGGTTGTTACTATAGTTAAACCAGGGTAACCACAAATTTACCATGCTTTTGCTACACTAACCATAGTGCAAATACAAATGACCTGCTCTTATCATCTGATCGTGGTTGTATCTCTCTTTTAGTGCTACTGGATCTTAGCACTGTGTTCAACACTGTTGACCACAACATTCTTTTGAATAGACTAGAAAACTTTGTTGGCATTAGTGGAAGTGCATTAGCATGGTTCAAATCGTACTTATCTGACCGCCATCAATTCGTAGTAATGAATGAAGAGGTATCATATCGATCTCCTCAAGGCTCAGTACTAGGGTCGTTATACTTTTCACTCTTTACATCTTACCATTGGGAGATATCATCAGGAAACACAGTGTTAGCTTTCACTGTTATGCTGATGATACTCCGCTCTATATTTCTTCACGGCCCGTTTTCGAAACATACAAATTTGAAAAACTAACGGAATTCATAGTCGATATAAAAAACTGGATGACGAGTAATTCTATTCTCTCAATGTCAAATGCAGAAATGTTAATCCATGCGTTTATGACCTCAAGGTTAGATTATTGTAATGCTTTATTGGGTGGTTGTTCTGCACGCTTAATAAACAAACTCCAGCTGGTCCAAAATGCAGCAGCTAGAGTTCTTACTAGAACCAGGAAGTATGACCATATTAGCCTGGTTCTGTCAACACGGCACTGGCTACCTATTAAACATTGTATAGAATTTAAAATCTTGCTTATTACTTATAAAGCCCTGAATGGTTTAGCACCTCAGTATTTGAGCGAACTCTTATCGTATTATAGTCCTCCACGTCCGCTGGGCTCTCAAAACTGTGGCAATCTGATAATACCTAGAATATCAAAATCAACTGCGGGCGGCAGATCCTTTTCCTATTTAGCTCCCAAACTCTGGAATAACCTACCTAACACTGTTCGGGAGGCAGACACACTCTGTCAGTTTAAATCTAGATTAAAGACCCATCTCTTTAACCTGGTTTACATATAACACACTAACACATTTCTAATATTCAAATCCGGTAAAGGATTGTTAGGCTGCATTAATTAGGTCAACCGGAACCGGGAACACTTCCCATAACACCCGATGTACTTGCTACATCGTTAGAAGAATGGCATCTACGCTAATATTAGTCTGTTTCTCTCTTATTCCGAGGTCACCGTAGCCACCAGATCCAGTCTGTATCCAGATCAGATGGTCACTGCAGTCACCCGGATCCAGTCCGTATTCAGACCAGATGGTGGATCAGCACCTAGAGATGACCTCTACAGCTCTGAATGTCAGCGGAGACCAGGACAACTAGATGAGCCCCAGATACAGATCCCCAGTGAATACCTTGTCTCCTAGACGGCCACCTGGACAAGACCACAGGAACCAGTTGAGTCCTCTGCACAATCTGACTTTGCTGCAGCATGGATCAACCTGCTGGTTTCGTCTGGCCAGAGGAGAACTGGCCCTCAACTGAGCCTGGTTTCTCCCAAGATTTTTTCTCCATTCTGTCACAGATGGAGTTTTGGTTCCTCTGGCTTTGCTTAGTTGGGGACACTTAATATCCAGAGATATTGTCGACTTGATTGCACAGATACTATTTAAACTGAACTGAGCTGGACGATGACACTGAATTCAATGATGAACTGCCTTTAACTGAAAATTTAATGTTTCCTATTATCCTTTTGCATTATTGACACACTATTTTCCTATTTGGTACTGTAAAGCTGCTTTGACACAATCTGTATTGTTAAAAGCGCTATATAAATAAAGGTGACTTCACTTGACTTGACCATAGTTGAACCGTTATTTATACAGTATTTGTAGTAAAAATAGGCTACATAGTAAAAAACATGGTTACTACACATTTACTATAATAAAATCATGGTTATTTTCTTAAGGGGTTTGTATTTGTGTATTCTTTCTTTCTTTCTTTCTTTCTTATTCTTCTTATTTTGTTTCTTGTAACTGTATTGGCTTAATGGTTTGATGTTTTGTACTGTTTAATAAAAAAAGAAATCAAAAAGATTCGCGAACCCACTCTATAGTCCCGATCTGAATCGAATGCTTCGCGATCCGATTGGAGTGCTTCGTCCAGAGATATTGTCGACTTGATTGCACAGATACTATTTAAACTGAACTGAGCTGGACGATGACACTGAATTCAATGATGAACTGCCTTTAACTGAAAATTTAATGTTTACTATTATCCTTTTGCATTATTGACACACTATTTTCCTATTTGGTACTGTAAAGCTGCTTTGACACAATCTGTATTGTTAAAAGCGCTATATAAATAAAGGTGACTTCACTTGACTTGACCATAGTTGAACCGTTATTTATACAGTATTTGTAGTAAAAATAGGCTACATAGTAAAAAACATGGTTACTACACATTTACTATAATAAAATCATGGTTATTTTCTTAAGGGGTTTGTATTTGTGTATTCTTTCTTTCTTTCTTTCTTTCTTATTCTTCTTATTTTGTTTCTTGTAACTGTATTGGCTTAATGGTTTGATGTTTTGTACCGTTTAATAAAAAAAGAAATCAAAAAGATTCGCGAACCCACTCTATAGTCCCGATCTGAATCGAATGCTTCGCGATCCGATTGGAGTGCTTCAAAACAGTGAATCATTTTGCAACGCAATGTTTTAACTGATTCGGCGTTTGGAAAAGCTCTGTTTCACCAATCACTATATGTGCTTTTTAAAATCATTACAAGTGATTTCGAAATTGGAAAATGAATGGAGCAGAGGTTCACCTCCACTGCATCAAAAAAGTTATGGGACACTATTAAAGTGATGACAAATATGAACACTAGACATAAGCACCTCTGTACAAATAATGATTTAGAGAAGGCAAATTAATTAAATGAGTTCTAACTCAGATTTCACACACAGGATTATATTCAGGAAGGCATGCACTTTCCGGAGACTTTTGTAAGTGAGGATACTTCAGAGTGAAAACTGACCCCCAGAAGGTTTGTTTATTTTTTAATCAAATTAATACTAGAAAGTCCACAGGACCTGATGTTATTTCGGCTGCTTTTTTAAAATCATGTGCAGAGGAGCTTACCACTGCATGGTGCCGTTTTTCAAGATCTGTGGATTGTCATACTGTTCCTGATATTTACAACTACCAAAGATATCTTGTCCAGTGGACAGTATAGGTCAATAGCCTTGACATCATGTGTTATGAAGTGTTTTGAGAGTTATATTGTGTCCTCGCTAAAGACAGAGGTAAAACCTGTTTTAGATGCACTCCAGTTCACCTACAGACAAGGCCGCGGTACGGTGGATGCTATTAATAACATAACTTATGTTATTGTGAAACATCTTGAGAGTCCAAAGGCCTATGCACGGTTGTTATTCGTTGGTTTTAGTTTGGCTTTTGATACAATTAAACCCCATTGTTTGATTAAAAAAATTGGGGCAGTTGGGTGTAAATCCATTTTTACTCAAATGGTATCATTCGTTTTTAACTAATCGAAGGCAGCAGGTCAAGGTTAACCACAGTATATCAGAGGTTAGAAGGACAAGCAGGAGTTCCACAAGGCTGTGTCAGCGCCCCAATTCTTTTTACATTGTATACAAATGAATGCACAAGTCATGATCCCAGTAACCTCATAATAAAATACTCAGATGATACAGCTCTGCTAAGCCTCTCGTATAATGATACTAATCCATCAGTATATTATTCAGAGGTAGAAAGATTTGTGAAGTGGTGTGACCTAAATCATCTTATTATAAATATAAAAAAAACTGAGTATATGGTCTTTGACCCAAAGTCAACTGGGAACCACTCACCCATATATTTATTCATGAGGAACCCTTTAAACAAGTGTGCTCATATAAATATCTGTGCGTTTATATGGATAATTTACTCACCTGGGGACCCCATGTAGATAGTATTTGTTCTTGTGCGCAGCAGAGATTATACTTTCTACGAAGACTGAGAGTTTATGGGGTCCAGCAGAAAGTAATGTATTTATTTTACCAGGCTGTAATTGGAAGTGTACTACATTATGGTTATACTGTGTGGTTTGGAAACATTACAGTTCAATCTAAAGCCAAACTGGCACGTCTGGTAAAGAAAGCTATGGGAATTATAGGGAAAAGGGAATATCAAACCTTGGAATCGTCTTATGAGCAGTCGGTTCTTAAGGAAGTCACTAAGATACTATCTGACCCCTCACATAGCTTATACTCTTGAGTATGAGTTGCTGCCGTCTGGTAGACGATACAGGCTGCCTGTGTGCAGATACAACCGTTTTAAGAAATCTTTTGTACCTACGTCAATCAGACTTTTAAACATGTAATTTATTTATGTTACCCCTTGTTGGTTATGGGTGTTATTGTGGCTTGGAATGTGTTGTGCTTATGTGGATATTTTATTATGCAATGTAATGTTGATCAGCGTATGTGTATGCAGGCTCCAGGGTCCAAGACAAATTTCCGCATTGGGGACAATAAAGTGTATTGAATTGAATTTATGACATTAACTGAAATAAGCGAAAAATGTTTACAAATAAAATATCCATATTTCCATTCCAAATATAACATCCAACATAAATCTATGAACATATTCAGGTGAGGTAACCGACATGTCCCTGCCAAATTCTACACCTTTTGATTTTTGTAATGAAAAAGCATGTCTAATTAAAAAATTTATTTAACAACAATTTATGAAATGTTGAACAAAAATGACATTTTTAGGGCCATATGAAATCGGTTTTATTTTTTCCCCAAATTCAGAATTTGAAATTAATTTTAATTACATTTTAATAATTTAAAACAAATAATGAATAATTGATAAGACGATTAATTAATAATTCATAAAACAACAATTTATTAACAAATTTATGATAATAGTGTCATATGAAATGTTTTATTTTTCTGAAATATTAGTTGAGTGGCTCTCTGGAGATGAAGTTCATGTGCTCATGAAATAAAAACTGACCGGAGGACAGGTTGAAACGTCAGAGGTCAGAGGTCGTGACTGACCTGTCCTGGTGGGAGGCCATTTGCTGGAGCTCATGAGTCTCCTCATGGTCTCGTATCTGCTGTCGCAGGTGTGTTTACTGAAGCAGTACCAGCCACCTGAACAACACAAACACACACCGTCAGATCACACACTCACTCACTCACACACACACACACTCACTCACTCACTCACTCACACACTCTCTCACTCACACACGCACACACACTCTCTCACTCACTCTCACACTCTCTCACTCACACACGCACACACACTCTCACACACACACACACTCTCTCACACTCTCTCACTCACACACGCACACACACACTCTCACACTCACTCTCACACTCTCACACACTCTCACACTCACTCTCACACACTCTCACTCACACTCACACACTCTCACTCACACACACACTCTCACTCACACTCACTCTCTCACTCACACTCACTCTCTCACTCACACTCACTCTCACTCACACTCACTCTCACACTCACTCTCAC